AGGAGATTCCCCCCTCCCACCCCCACGTTGTCCATTCCCCCACCCCTTCCCTCTTCTACCAAAACTCCGCCCTGGATTCGCCTATGATGTAGATACATATTATTTGCTGTTATCAAGGTCGCCTGGACCATCCACGCGGGAAACAATCTTTTGAAATTTTTGATATTGTTATGTTCTAATTAGTCACTGCCTTTCAAAAAGCGGGCAAATGATGAACGGGATTTTGGATTCTAATTGAAGTTATAGATTTTATGAGAACGTTTTACCTCAATGTAAGTCTGCAAGATTGATCTGGGAGCAGTGTCAGTAACATGACAGTCCGCTACACAGCATCCGGTTATACTCAGATCAGACTGGCAACAACTGTATCGCGATTCCCATAATCCACGGGCTAAAAAACCGCAAATTTGGCAAAAAAATTCAATTAAAAAGGCAAAAATACTCATTTCGAAAGTGTACTACTTGTACAATGCCTATATCGATAACCTTTTCTTCTCTACAGCTGTATTTTTGCAGTTACGAAGACCCATGAATTCAGCTCCAGGTTGCCACTCCTACCCGCATGCATATTCAGGTCTGTGTTTACAGCTAAGGGATGAAACACGCAGACTGCATCGTAAAATATCACCCTACTACATTTTGCAATCTCAGGGGGTTTTGTGGCAGAAATTAGATGAAGAAAGTCGGGATGCCGAATGAACAGTGTTGGCGGAAGTTAACCAAAGTTGTAAATCCCCTGAGAATGCAAAATGGCTTAGTTTGTTGGAGCCGGGCGACTAAATTTACGAGTCTTTGCAACTACGAAAACGCTGCTGGAGGGAAAAAAAGATAAAATCCCAAATGTATATCCAAATCGCTTAGTTTTGCTGAAAATAATAGAACAGAAGAATTGTGCTCAGTCGTCATGTATAAGGTGATATTTTACGGTGCAAACTGTCTGTTTCTGCAGCTTTTCCTATAGGGGTAAAAGCTTAATTTATCCCCAAATTCTCTTTTTTGATAAAATCATGGCTATACAGATTATTAAAATTGAACCGCGAAATTAAAATACCATCAGCTCGTACTCGCTGGCTCCAATTACCTATGGTCGTCGTCAACCCGAAAAGTGGAAAAAAAATTTATTTCATTACAGAGAAACAAACTCTTTGTCTTGTAAGCTCTGCCCCAATGATGGACACACTGTACCACTGTTGTATATTCGCCTTTCGGTGTGAGACTGAATTCGGCACCACAGCGACAACAGGTTCGTTTGAGATCTGAAACATAATAAACGATAATCATTAACCACACTAATCGGTAAGACAGTAAAAAAA